ACGATTGTGTGTCTATTATCGATACATTTCTTAGTCATCTGAAAAATCTTTCATATATTAAAATTGATTATTTTGAAAATTCACCACTTGATGATCCATTTTCACTTGAAAATATTATTGAAAAACGTCGTCAAGCATTTCCCATGAATATTATTCATGAACAACTTATCAATGTCAAAAATGATGGAGAAGTTATAGAAATTTGGTTAAAATGATTCTTTTGTATATATTATTTTATTTGTTTAATAATAAATAATAAAAATAATCCTGAAATTAAAAATGTCTTTGTGTGTTTAGGGTGTGGGTGTGGGTATCAATAAAAAAAAGATTTAGACCCATACTCTCGAGATGGTGAATTCGTTCTACTTAGCTTTGCTACTATTAACCACCCGATGAAGATGAACTTGAATGTTGTTACAACTGGATGAAACGCCTTTATATAGTTGATTAAAATAAGATAGACATGGGAGGAATCTCACTTATGATTGTGTCTCAAGGATGAGACAAGGAAGTCGAAGTTTATTTGTCTTATGAATATGATGTCATATATTTTACTCTATTAGTCCTATAAACGTCAGAGGCATCGACACGAAAATGGATGGGTGTGAATATTGAATTTAACACCCACATGCTCACCCGCATCATACAAAAGTTTCACTATCTACGACCTCCATATTTGCACTGAAATCGTTTAGAAGTAAAGGCGCCATCGATTGTGGCTGCTCAACATTACGAGTTTCTGATCGAAACGCACGAATAATACTGAATAGTGTTGGTACTTTGGTCGGATGCCATTTGTGCACAAAAAACCAAATAAGACCAATCAGAGCTATAGTGACAAAGGTAACAGGCAATACAATAAAAGCGATGAGACGTATTGATCGAGTAGACTCTTTTGTGTTCTTTCTTGTTGTTGTATCAGTAGAGGAGGTTAGATCCAACTGGATGAACTGATGTAGCATAAAACGTGATCGACGTGGATAGTTATAGTGTACCATGTGACCGGCATTATAGAAAAGAATGTAAGTTAAATTACGTGCACTTTGAATGAGACCAGCAGATTTACCATCCACAATCCACGGATGTTTTGGAGAGAATGTTCCATTACCAAAATCAAAGCCAGGTCCACCGTTCCATGTCATACCATCAATCATTGCTTCAGTCGCCTGATGATTACAAATCAAGTCATATTGACCACTGAATAGAATAATTGGAATTTGTTGAAGTAAATCAGGCAACAACAGGATCGATAGTTTAGAATGATAAGCTGTAAACGTATTGTGAACAGAAGGCGAGCATCCTGTCCATTCCACTTTATTATTATTAATGTTTATGCTTGACATAACATCTTGTCGACGCAAGTACGATGTGATATACTTTAATTCTGGCGCCCAATTTTTACCACACTCTGGAATCATATCATCTAGCCTGATGTCATATACATTGACACATCTACCTTCTTGATTTTCTTTGTGGTGATTATTCATTGCACCGTTCCCCACTATCTCGGCGAGGAGAGGATAACAAGCTTCTTCGGAGACATGCACCAGCTTGGAAAGTACCTGTTCACAATGTTCGACTTCAATGTTAATAAGATCATAGAGCTCGGAGTTCTCAATGACTAAATTATTTGCTACTGCAAATGGTAAAAATGATTTATACATGGTAACAGGATCAATCCAACCATTTCCAATCAACAGACCACGTAGTTTCAATGCTGATCGTTGTTCAAGAATCGCCTTCGCTATATATGGAATATACTGACCAGCATAAGATTGACCAGCTAAGTAAATGTCATTTTCAAGTAATTCTGGAAAAATCTTGATATATTGATCAAGAAAACCAAGAAACTGATTAGCCATCTCATCAAGTTCATGAATATATGAGTCTGTATCAATGGTGGAAAAGTCAGTACCAACAGGCTGATCTATAAATAGAAGATTAGTGTACAAATGCCATGATCCATCATTTTCGATCATCGTATTTTCATCTTGAAATCGGAAAGGGCCATTTTCCATCCAAGCTCCAGTCAGACTACTACAACCAGGACCTCCATTAAGCCATATGACTGTTCTTAATTTGTCACTAGGATATTTTTTCTCAAAATGCCAAAAGAATAGAGATCCATGATGTTGTGGGTTGACAGGTAGAAGTCCAGCATGCATACGAATAGAAGAAGACTCTTTTGGTAAAAGTGGTAAATCATGGACGTAAAAGTCGGTAGCTTGTAAAGCGAATGTTAGAGGAGCAACGATCGAAAATAAAATAAGTAATTGTGTGATCATGAAAGGCGAAGGATGCATTCTGAATTTAACTAAAAATCTAAAAGAATAAAACAGATTACACAATTTCTTCTTGAAGAACTAAACGATGTTTTAAGTTCTGCTTCTAATGTTAATTAGATTGTGAGTTATTTCCAAAGATAAAAGAACAAAATTTCAGTTCTTTATTTATGTCGTATCTAAAGTTATTATAAAAATACTCACTCGCCTTTAGTAGTATGATGGACTTTAAAAAACGTTTAGTTTTCTGTTTTGTATTTATTATCTAAACGAATAAAATGTGCTGTATAATTGCAAATAAGTGATTTGCTCAACAAAAAAGAAAACTACGTAATGCGAATGAAAGAAATAGTTGTACTGGCCTTTATTGACAATCAAATGAACAAGAGAAGAAAGCGAACTCTTGAAAAATGACGTGTAGATTCATATTCTTATATATATAAAAGATGTTGGGTATTTCTAAGCATACAAATACTGACTTAATCATTCATGATCGATTACTCACTGTATTCTCTTATTTTTGTGACGAAATTTTGCATTATTAAATTTCACCTTTAAGTTTGCCGTGTAAACAGTTGCACTACCGATAAGCAAGCTATATATAACTATGAAAAATTGCCCCGGAGATTTTTATTTCTGTTTTTTGCATAAAAATTCATTTTTGTTCGCTTTCTTCCTTTTTTCTTTCGATTACTCACTTCTTCCACTTACATACATTTTTTCAGAACTGAACAAAATACTCGAAGTACGCGTACTCCATACGATTATGGTCGTACTTGCAGTGATATTCGGCAATATAACTTTTTGAAATTTTAGGTAATGTTGTTTGTAAAAGCATTGGTTTGTTTTCGTGTATTTTGGAAATATGTGCATATTATGTTCTAAAACTAAAAGTCTAGTTTTCCTATTAGGTATTTTAGAACGTCATAACCATCTCTGACATAATCTAATGATACTTGTACTCGTACTTGAGAAAGTCCGTACTTGTCCAGCCTGCATTTTGCGAAGTATAGGATAGGTATGGGGTAAGTATGGGTGTGAGATTGTCGAGTATATACAGCCATACCCCTTTTCCATACCTTTGCGCCCACATCCACCCCTCATGATCGATCTTTAACGCGCATGGCATTCCTGAAGTTCTAGTACATGTTTTTAAATTGATCCCTTATCCATTGAATCTTATTAATAGCGCAATAAAGGTACTCTACGAATTGAAATTGAATGAATTTCTTTTAACATCAACATCATTTTGAAATGAATTTATTCATTCAATAGATGCCAAGACATTTTTACTTATCTATTACAAACTTATCAAAATATTGATTCTCTCATTCTTTTTTAATTAATTTGTTTAAGATATTTAAAAATGAGTACATCATTCGTGATATATACCAAAATATGAACTATACTAAAATTCGAATCCATATCTACAGAGTAATATTAATTTCTTGAAAACTATTTTTGTACCAACACTGATCATGTTTGAATTATTTAGAAAAGAGTATTTATTTGTTAAAATAACGAAAAGATTTACAACCAAATGATTAAATCATAAGCTGGACGAACACGATTTGAGGTGTCTACGTATTCTGTAATAAAATAATGAATTATTCTTTTGAATTGTTTTATAATTTAGGAAAATTCAGACGTAAATCATTTAGACAATTAGAATTTTTTGTTGAATATATCGCCCTGAATGTTTTGTCGCAGACAAATGTTAATTGTTGTAAATCAGGTAAGATTTGAGATAGTTCAAAGAAGAAAGTTGAATAAAATTTTGGTGGATGTGAAGTTGGAGTATAACCTGCGTAGTCCGATGATGATGAATCACTTAAATTGTTATTTGTATGTTCGCGAATAACTAAATTTTTAATTTTGTTTGAATTTTTTTTTGGAAATAAATTTTTTAAATAAACAATAATTGTTTTTGTATTATAACTTCGAATAAATATAGTATCTATATTTGGTGATTGTGCTATAATTTTTTTTAATATCGAATATTGATGAGAGTCTTCTTGACCTTTTATCATACAATCAAGTTCTAATTGTTTCAAATTGTTAAAATTGTAATCGTCTTTAATCGATTGAAATGCGGAAGGAAAATTTTGCGAAATTTTATGAGTAGATATACAAACTGAATGACTGTTGAAAAGTTTCTCTAAAGTTGAGTAGTTATTGACGTGTAAGGAGGATGTATCTTGATTTAATTCAAGATAAACTGGTTTAGGTTTTGGAAGAGTAAAAAATGAATAAGTTTCCGAATGGGGAAACTGTATAATACTGGAAAATCGATGGTCAGGTTGATGAGTAGTGAGAATATTGTAGTTGAATATTTGAAGATGAGTAAAATTATTAGTTAATGATTGAAATTTTTCAAAATTAGATAATTCTTCTGGAGCTTCTCTAACAACTAATGTTAATTCATTAATTTGATTATTAAATAGATCGAATAAATTATTTATTAATTCAAAATTTGCTTGATATAATTTACCATAGTCAATTTCGATCTGTAATTTTTCTAATGTAACTGGTAATTCTTTTAGATTTACATCTTCTGCATCATAATAATCTGATAATAACAAATTTAACTGCACTAGATTTGGCATTGTCTGAAATATATTTAATAGTATATTATTAGAATCAATCCTAATTGAAAGACATTTGATATAAGGCATTTGTTGAATATCATTAAAATAACTGTCTGAAATATATAAACTATTCTGTACGATCAGTTTGGTCAATCTTTGTGATGCATTAGTAGATATAATTTTAAACGTATCTTGATCTGGTACATGAATCGAAATTTCTGACAATGTTGATAAAGATAGAGCATCAATTAGAATAGTACAATTGTTATAATATGGAGGACAGCCAACTATTGTTAATGATTGTAGATTAGTGAGTTGACGAAGACGGAGTGACGGTAAATGAGATTCTATGGCAAATTTAAAAGAGCGTACCAATGCCCCTTGTACAGGTATAATTTTTTCCATTAATAACACAAATTGTTTATAAAATAGATTTATTTGCCTTAGATCAATATCGCATAAATAAGACTGGATAATTCCTTGAAAACGTTGATTTAAGTTACAAAAACCATACAGCATATCGAAATTATGTAAATAGCGGAAAATAAGCAAATGTAACTCGTTAGGTAAAGATTCCAGGTCTTGTCTGTGCTGTTAATAAATGTTAGTGGATTATTATTTTTCTTTATACGTAAAAACAGAATGACAAAAAATCTTGTGCAATAACTCTTATTCACTTGAATAATGTGACCAATAGGAACTACAGGTGTCACTATGCATTAATATCGTTGATGTATGACGATCGCTATGCGTTTTGGCATCTAGTTGAGAAGGAAATTATAGTTTTAAATAAGCGAAATCGATAGTATCATTTGAGACACATCTTTTTATTAAACTAATTTCGGATTAATGATATATTTATTGAAAAAGTAAACGTTACACATTGATACTGTGAAATATCGATTGGATTTCTTCAAATGACAAAAACTGAAAAAGATTCGATTAATTCTCATCAAATTATAAATAAATTAGTCAATATGTATGACTAAGACAGAGTTTGGTAAAATTTAATCGAACAAAAATATTCCAAAATGTGTAAGAGGGTGTGAATGTAGTCAAAAGATTATTTAGCATCACCCACACTCTCTAGATCGTTGAATAATTTCGTAGGTTTTTTGTTATTTTTAAGATTTAAATGATTGTAATCAGTTTCATATTTCCATTAATTATTTAAGTTAATGTGGATTGTTAGTTGCATAAAACAAAAGTAATGAAATATTTTTGTTTATTCCATAAATAGTTAATAAAATAAAATAACATCTGTCCAATGAATATAAAAGAAAATGTCGTCTATCTATAAAAAATAGTTTTTTCGCTGTTAGTAAAATATTGTTTTTAAATATATTCCTGGACAAATGATTAAGAAAAAACTCGTAATGAAATTTTTTTATTTTGAAAAAAAGAAAAAGAAAATTAATATTCAGTTTTCATTTAAACAACATCAAATACAGAATTTTATTTCTGATGTAGAAATAACAGAATAATTACGGCGCAAGTTAGAGATTTTCTTCGGAAGTGCGTCAATGAATGTTGAGGAAAAATTTGCATCTGTTGAAAATATTCAGATTTACGTCAGCAACTCGATTTTATATATATCAAAAAAGGAAATAACAAGTTTATCCTATGTCAATTAGAAAAAAAAATATATTTAACTATATAAATACCCAATATTTTTCATTGTATTCTCTTGAAAAGATGTTTGATATAAAATATCTATTCTATTTTATTTTCTTACAATGGCGTTTCGCTACACCACAAATAAATCTTTATTTTACTAATCAAGTAAGTGAAAATATAAATAATAATTCAGGTGTGCAACACAATTGTTTACGTACTATCAATTTACAAGAGAAGTCTCGTCAACTAATGTCATATTGTTTGAGTGAATCAATATCAAACTTGAATGTTATGAATGATAATAGTTTTCAGACATTGACGTTTGGTGAACTTTCAGAAAAGAAAATAACAAGTGAAAAATTATATCAATGGTCAACACCAATTGATATAATTGAAGATTATCAATTTTATTTAATATCAAATGATTCATCATTAGAAAAACAAGTTTTTTATAATTGTACATTACCAAGATTTGGTTCACATTGTCAATATGAATTTGATAATTATCAACCAGATTATTCATCATTATCTGAAATAATTCACAATTTCTACGACTATGATAATTATCAATATAATCCAACAAATCTAACTTGTTATACTCATTTAAATTGTACACGTAGCAACTTTCCATCATGTTTAGATTGGAGTGAAATTTGTGATGGAAAAATTGATTGCATTAATGGAGAATATGATGAAGAACATTGTTGGCAACTTGAACTAAATGAATGCAAAGAAAACGAATATCAATGTTTCAATGGAATGTGTATACCATACTCATTTCTTCGTGATGATTCTCTTAATCCCGATTGTCTCGACGAATCCGATGAACATATTCCAGAATTTAACAATAATCATGATACATTTCAGCCATTATTTCATTGTGAAGATGTAGTATGTGATAGAACATTTTTAACAAGTTCTTGTGTAAAAAAGCGTCAAGAATTTTTAATAAAATCAATATTTTCAATTAAAAATGATTTTGTATCAGATGAATGTTGGACAGCATTTCAATGTTTTCTTGCAATTCCAAATCAAGACTATCCATCATACGATTATCTACCATCTGAATGTATACAAAAAATTCAAGAAAAGTGTCTAGATATGTTTTTTATTCCAAATATTCCAGTTTTATTTGGTCATATATATACTGCTTATACAAAAAATGATACACAATATACTGAAAATCCGATCATTCCGTATTTATGTTATAAGAAAATTGATTTTGATTATTTTTCTAATACAATTTCAAAAGTATCATTTCAAAATACAACATGTTTTCGTTCGAAATCGATCCAAGAAAATATTTATCCTACACATATTTGGAATGAAAAATATTTTAATGTTATAAATGAATTATACATGAAATTAAAAACCTACAATCCAATTGTTAATTTTCCTTCAAATATCTGTAATAAATCAAATATATATCAATGCATTAATTCAACTAAATGTATCTCAATTAATCGTCTTATGAATACGGTAAATGATTGTCCTTATAATGATGATGAAAATATGTTTGATAGTAATGATATTTATATATTAACAAAAATTAAACAGAATTATTACAAATGTCAAACATCTGATAAATATATTCATCAATCACAACTGCAAGATGATGAATGTCATTGTGGAATCACTCAATTTGATTGGTGTGAAGATTGGCATTCAGAATTCAAAGATAGTTTTCCAATAGTTATATCATTTCAAACAATTTGTGATAAATTTACTGAATTATTTCCAATAGTTACTCAAGAAAAAAATGAAACAGATGAAACAGAATGTGAAAAGTGGGAATGTAATAATATTTATACTCATTGTGATGGACTATGTAATTGTTTAAATGGAGAAGATGAAATTGATTGTAATTCTTCACCAACATTATTTAATTGTTCTTCAAATACCCGTATATGTGTTTTACCAGACACGAATCAATTTACATGCCTATCGATAAATAAAATTAATGATGGAATTGTTGATTGTCTTGGTGGTACTGATGAACCAATACGATATCAAATAGATGATCAACGGGACCACTACTATCTTTTTTATTGTAACACGACACAGTATTCTTCTCATTATATATCCGATGATCTCTTATGTACTGGTAAACCAGAATGTAATAATGGAGATGATGAACATTTTTGTCAAAAAAATCGAACATGTTCTACATCTGGTGGTATTTGTAGTAATCCTGAATATAAATTGTGTACTTCTAACGTTGAACAATTCTTGTGTGAACATGCAAAAATTCGAATGAAGAAAAATATAAAATATTTTGCAATTAATCAAATCATCAAATCACCTACAAAATCAGAAATTAATAATAGAATAGATACAAGAAGACTTTTTCCAATGTCATCTAAAATTCAAAAATCTTTTAAATATGGATCTCATTGTCATCGTGGCCTTGAGTTACGTGTTTGGTTGAACAATTTAACACGAATTACATGTTTTTGTCCACCTAGTTTTTATGGTAATCAATGTCAATATCAAAATCAACGATTAAGTTTAACTCTTCAATTTCAAACATTATCCGATTCTTTGCAAATATCATTTGTAATATTAATTCGATTAATTGATAATAATAATCAACAAATTATTCATTCATATGAACAATTGAATTATTTATCAATTCGAGATTGTAAAACAAAATTTAATTTTTATTTAATTTATTCAACACGACCAAAAGATTTAACAAATAATTATTCAGTACAAATTGATATTTATGAAAAATTTTCATTAATTCATCGAGGAAGTTTATTATATCCTATTCATTTTTCATTTTTACCTGTTCATCGTTTAGCATTTTTTATTAATATTCCACAACGTAATGATAAAAATTGTGCAAATACGAAATGTCATCATGGAAAATGTATTAAATATTTAAATAATCCAAAAACTTTTTGTCAATGTGATCGTGGATGGATTGGTCAAGATTGTTCTATTGAAAATAATTGTACATGTTCATCTGATTCATTATGTATTGGTATAACTATTAATAATCGACCTATATGTATTTGTCCAGTAAATAAATTTGGTTCACGGTGTTTTATTACTGATACAACATGTGAAAATTCTTCATGTAAAAATAATGGCTTATGTCTTTCAAATGACGGCTATATAATAAATGATCATAACTGGATGTGTATTTGTCAAAAAGGTTTTAGTGGGGATCAATGTAAAATAGTTAATAATAAACTTATTATATCTTTTTCAAATGATATTAAATTAAAATTATCAGAATCAATATTTATTCATTTTATTGAAGTTCAGAAAGATAATCCACCAAAACGAGCATCAACATTACAAACAATTCATTCTACACAAAATTCAATAATAATTTATTGGTCACAACCATTTCATCTTGTTTTTATTGAATTTATTAATAAGATTTATTATTTAGCTGTTATTCAAGATGCATATATTGAATCAACAACAATTGTTCAAACAATAAATTCATTCGATCGTTGTGCATCTATTAGTGAATTATTTAATAAGAGTTTTATTCAATTACATCTTATTCGTCGTATTAAATATTATCATTTACCATGTCAAAATCAATCATTAAATCTTTCTTGTTTTTATGATGATGTTCATTTTTGTCTATGTTATAATCATGGTCAAAAACGTTTAGCAAATTGTTTTAAATTTATTCATAATATGACATTTAATTGTTTTGGACAAAGTGAATGTGAAAATGAAGGACAATGCTTTCAAGATTCGCAAGATTGTCCAAAAAGATCGATGTGTATTTGTCGTCCATGTTTTTTCGGTGGTCGTTGTCAACTTAGTACAAATGGATTTGGTTTATCACTTGATGCTATTTTAGGTTATCATATTACACCAAATATTAGTTTTTTAAAACAAACAGCTATTGTTAAATTCAGTTTAGCATTAACAATTATATTTGTCATACTAGGATTAATAAATGGTATTCTTTCTTTAATTACATTTAAGAATAAAACAGTACGTGAAATTGGTTGTGGTTTATTTTTATTAGGATCATCAATAACAACTTTTCTTATAATGATATTGCTTGGATTGAAATTTTTTATTCTTCTTTTTGCACAAATGTCAATTCTATCAAATGAATTATTTTTAAAAATTCAATGTTATTTATTAGATTTTCTTATTCGAATTTGTCTTAATATGTATCAATGGTTAAATGCATGTGTAGCAATTGAACGTGCAGCAACAGTAATACAAGGTACTGGTTTTGTTAAGAAAAAAAGTAAACAAATAGCTAAAAGAATTATTCTTATTCTTATAATTATTATTATTGCAACATCTATTCATGATCCTATTTATCGACGTTTAATTGTTGAAATAAATAATATTGATGATCTCAAGAGAATATGGTGTATAGTTAATTATTCATCAAATTTACAAATATATAATACTACTATGAATACTATTCATTTCTTTGCACCATTTATAATCAATTTTATTTCAGCTATAATTCTTGTAACAAAAAAATCTCGTCAACAAACGAATGTTCATATCAATCAAAAGTATATAGATATTTTACGAGAACAATTTAAACAACATAAACATTTATTTATTGCACCAGTTGTTTTAGTTATTGTTGGATTACCACGTTTAATTACATCTTATCTATCAAAATGTATGAAATCAACTAATGATGCGTGGTTGTATCTTATTGGATATTATATATCATTTATTCCACCGATGATTACTTTTCTTGTATTTGTATTACCATCAAAATTTTATACAAAAGAATATAAAAAAGCTATTGTTCAGTATCGAACTAATATACGACAACGTTTCAACAATATATTATAAAGATGAAATTGACTCATGCTTGCTTCTGTGTACCTCATGATTTATAATTTTCTTTTTGCTTATGGGGTAACTACTCACAATGATCTACCAGTATAAGGATGTGGGTGTAGGATTAAGATTGCATCCCATCCACTAGAGTTCTAAACTGATGGGTCATTTCGGATAGTTTCCTCGTTAGTTTAATGTTGTATTTATATGTCAGTAATTTATTCTCGAATAAAGATTACTAAATATGATATTTTCTATATTTTTTAGTATAAAATGTTTTCTTAAAATAATTTCAGTTTAATCGAATAATTAATATTTTTTCTATAAATGCAAATTATTTCTGTATCTTTTCATTTTTTAATCTAAAGAATCAAGAGAGCGGAAGATTATTAAGAAAATGCCCGATGACATTATTCTATTTTCATCGGCAACATTTCCTTTCTTTTATTTATAGAAACTATAACAGTAAATGAAATACTGTTTTCTTTCCATATGATTTCATCCACAACATACGTGTTACTTCGAAATAACATCATTTACATTTACTCAGTCTAAACTTATTATTCATTCTACTTGTAAAAATTTCATTAAAACGAATTTAACAAAATATGAGTGGCGAAATTTTCTCGAATGAAACTGATTATGATACAGATACTACAAGTTGTACATCAATAGCAACAGAAATTATTTTCTATATTTTCTTATTGTTAGAAATTTCATCAGTTTTATGTAGTTTATTACTCTTCTACTATTTTATTCGTTTACGTGAATATCTCTATCGAGATCACTCCAATATAACGATTCTCTATTTAGTAATTGCTTCATTTCTAGTAACTTCAATCGATATGCCAATAATTATAATACATCTTCAAAATTGTTATTACATTGGATCGATGAAAGATTCATCTGCATTTTGTACCTTTTGGATCTTATGTGATTATATCTTCTATTCATTAAATTTATGGTTAATAGCATTTGCCTGTTTTGAACGTTATCTATCGATATTTTTCAAACAATTTATTATGAAAAATCGAATACGACGTTTTCTTCTATATTATGCATCAGTTATATTCATAACATTATTCGCTGTATTCTGGTATCTATATTTAACACTAATTTATCCATGTGCACAAACTAGTTTTGATTATACACAAATAACATGCGGTGGTTCGTGCTATGAATTTGTTGATGATCCGGTGATTCAAAACATCGATTGGATTATAGCTGTTCTATTACCAACTTTCTTAGTGATTTTCTTCATTCTTATATTGATATTACACGTTCTTTATCAAAGACATAAGATTAGCAGAGTTTCAACACAACGAAATACATGGAAACGTACACACAAGATGTTTCTTCAACTTGTACCAATTGGATTTATATTTTTAGCATTTAATATGCCATTAATTATTGTTGGAATGCTTGGTATTACTAATTCATGGTATTATACGACATTTTACAGTTATACTAATTCGTTTTGGTATTGTTTACCACTCTTGATGCCATTTGCCATTCTGTCTAGACAGAAAGAAATACTAGAACGACTCCGTATTTTGTTTAATTTACAAGGAGCAAACCGAATTGCATCACCCGATGGAACTGCCTAACCGATGCAAATTAGTAAACATCAAAGTGATTCAACAGATGATGATTGCTGTTTATGAACCACTGGATATTTGTATTATATCTTCTTTTAATACTTCATTTCCTGCCTTTTGTATTTCTTAATTAATCGAATGAATCTTCTCTAACAAAAGAAAACAATTTATACATCAAGGAACTCTTCAATAGATGAGTCAAACTATTAAATAAAACTCACACGAGCATTATTTTTACGCAAAACTTCACACCTCTTATTCAATCTTCAGATGTTTTTTCTTTTATTTTCTTTAGAAATTTACGGTATTTGTAAAAATAAAATGATTTTGAATCCAATCGTTCAATTTTCTACGTTCAGACACATTGTTTTTTACTACGATCTCTTCTCTTTATTTCAATCAAATTTTTGCATTGTCTAATCAATTGTGTTTATTACAGCATGAAATAATTCATGAAAATTATACGGCAAAGAATATATAAATTTGTTTTTGAAGACAATAAGTTACATTAAAAACGACTTGAGTTGTCGGTACCAGTGGCATGCCGAACGAAACTTTAGCGATTCAGTGAACTGTTAGTAATCTTATACGCAAGAGAGCCAACAGGTTGTGGTCGCCACACGCTGTACCACAAGCAGGCGAACATTTGGATACCCATAAAAATGCATTATCCAAAAACTCGGTTTCTACCAGTTCACGTCACTTCTCTCAATCCACACCACCTTCAGTAAACTGAGCAAATGAGGCGCACATTTGAATTCCCGGCATTGAAATACCTCAAGAAATGTTTTTTTCGGAAAATCGCTTTTCAATGTTTTTTTTGACCTTTGACCCCTCTTCACTCCCCTCCACACGGTCATCCAACAGATTTCAGATTCCAAGTCCCCGCATCGAAATACCTCTCGAGATGTCTTTTCCGGAAAATCGATTTTCGATGTTTTTTGACCGTGCGGACAGACAAGCAAGCAGACAATTTATGTTTGCAAGACTCTTCTCTACGAGAAAGAGAACTAACGACCAAAATACACAAAACAATTCGAAAAGGCTGTACAATCAAAACTGCTCCATTGATTCTTGCTTCACTGTATATAGAAATCAACAAGACATTATTGATTTCTCATTTCAGCCTCTACCATTAACACTGAGTACAATATTGACAAAATATAATACTGTTTTTTTTGAATGTCTAAAAAAGAAAACCTTTATTTTCTTTCAAATAGGTGTGGATGTGGATGTGGATATTGTAGTCATCATACACCCACACCCTTAAGATGGTACATGAAATATTCTCTTCTAATGTCTAGAAAAATTCGATCAGCTAACAACAATATACATTAGAACGACGTGTTATGTCTTATCTTTTTTGTTTTCAATAAATATCCTTCTATTTCAGATCAATCTTTATGTTTTTTTTTAATATGGATGATCCTTTCTTAAAAAGAATCTTATCAAAAGATCTATCAGTAAGAGTTTTTTTCTTTTGAAAATATTTGAAAAAATTTTCTTTTATATAGATGGCTGATTTACATCGTTTAAAAGATGAAACTGGCAAAATATTAGCATCACCAAATAACGATTCGAAAGTTGGTGTGAAATATAATTTGCTACAAAGTATTTTTGGATTATGTAAATCATACAGAAAAACTAGTTATCAATACAGCAGGTGCATCGGTTAATGGTAATAGTAAATGTATGGTAAGCCTAAATTTATTAGTTCTAAGATGAATCGTTGGATGCACGTGAATCTCTATATTCTAATGGTGTTTATTACTGAGAACAAGCGATTCTTATTAAACTGGTTTGATTCGATACAAAAATGCATTGCATATATATATTATTTGATAACTTTTTTACTACACTTATCTTATTTAGGTCAAGTCGTCAGAATCAACTACGAGAGATGAAAGACTATAGTTAAATGAAAATCGTCTCCGTCCAGTTATATTTTTAGTCTTTTATTTCTAACTATTGTACTTCTTCTTTACTACTTCGGTTAATTGCTTTATTTATCATATTTCTATTTTTCATTTTCACATTCAAAGTAACATTTCACTTTATTATAATCTCATATTAAACATTTAAATATGGATTAAGAATGATGATAAAGAAAATTATTTACTAATTGACATCTGAAGAATTCTCAACATACTAAAATTAGTTCAAAACTTATTTTTGATTACGTGATACATTTGAAATAATAGTTGATAATTGCATTTTATCATCAGCTTCAGTTAACTCGAGTTCGTCACTTATATTAAATTGATTTTATTGAACGCAATTCATCTGAGTCTTCTCAAACCAATTGCGTTCAGTGAGGTGATTTTTGATCAAGCAATGTCATTTTTGTTGTATCAATATTTCATAAAAGATCACCAATAGAACAAAATAAATGCATTCAACTAATTTATTATTATTACGACTACTCATTTCACTATTTCTATTCTTTAATGCTTAATTAGTACGCGTCAATGCAATTGTCGAAGATTTGGATCACAGTAAAACTTGATGATGTGAGGTTAATCATGATTATTATAATTATCACCAAATAGAGGTGGGGAAAATGAATTCAATCAAGAAGTTGACAAATGTATTTATTCACTGAAAATACAACACATACGTCTCAGTACATAAAGAATCTCTTTTTTATGTTGTTTAGGGATGCAACGGTGATCGGTGTGAATCGGTAACCATTCCATCTTGAGAGTGTAGATATGGGTATTTATCTCATCTATCACTAACGTCCACTTCATGTATTCCGACGTTTAACATGATCTTACAGAAAGAATGATACTTCGTATTTGAAAATTGTTCCAAAAATGTCAGAAAATATCTTTAAATATAATTTCCGCATTAAATGGTCAACGTTCATGGAATTAGCAGATGAAATTGGACCATATTTATACAAAAATGAGACTTATTTAAGACAGGCTATACCAGTACATAAACGAACTGCCTGTACTTTGTATTTATTGGGATCTACGTCTGAATTAAGAACCGTAGGTAACTTCTTCGGAGTAGGAAAAACTATAGCTGCTGCAATTTTACATGAGTTTTGTAATATTCTAGCTGATACATGTTTTCATCGCTTTATTAAGTTCCCAACAACCGACGATGAAATTAAAGATACAACAGATGAATTTTTAATTAAATCCGGCTATCCGATGTGTATAAGGTGTCTTGATGGTACATATATTAGCATTCAACCTCCATCTGGAGAAGAATGCGACTACTACAATTACAGAAACACCACTTGATTATAATGCTGGCGGTAGTCAACTCCAGTTTACAATTTACATATGTTAATATAGGGGCACCTAGTAGGTGTAATGATTCATCTGTATTTACATGTTCAAAGTTATATGGAGTTATGCAAAACCAGATGTATGCTAATCAGTATATTATGATAGATAATGTTAAACTTCATGCTCATCTGATAGTAGATTCAGCATTTCCTTTAAGTACAACGTTATTAAAACCATATTCTGATCGTTCACAAATGCCCAAAAAATATTCTTTATTCAGTTACAGGCTGAGTCGTTTTAGGGGGTTCGGGTCATTTAGCCGACAATCATTTCACCGACCGATTGTTTCACCGACAGGTACCTTTCACCGATAGGGTACCTTTTGACATCCCAGTTGATTTATATATACGCTACTAAGTCCAGTATTCTAGGACATAATGTAGGTGTGAGTATATACTCATCCCATAACACATCCACACCCACACCCACATAAATATCGTTTACTAATTCGTGAATCACTTGCTATACTCAAACATAAATCAACATTAAATCGCACAGTACAAAGTGCACCATTAATAATTTATTCAACAGGAATAAAACAAAAGAATAAAGTAAAATTTAAAGAAAAACATGATAGACCATCACCCGGGTGAAAGTTTTGTTAGATCTCTTTTTTGTTAAATAGTTTATTTGATAAGTAACAAGTTTAACGACTAACTAATTCACACACACACTAACGTAAAACATAATCTCTCTCTATATATATATAGACTAGCTAGATATTTCCCACATCATATTATGGAAAAATACCTGAGTTATATATATAAGAAATCTTAACTAGGAATATACCAAAGGGAACATATCGAGGACGCGCAACAGAACGAAAGAAAATCACATACATAGAAAAGAAAAAAAAGAATATATATATGGGATAATTCCTTGTAAATGTAATAAGGAATATTCCATTACAGTTTTGTTTTTACTGCAAAATTTTTCGGTAAAAACAAAACAGAGTGAATCACAAACGTGTTACAGTAAATAGTAATGATTCATATACATATACATATATATATATATATGTTTTGTCTATCTTGTAAATTTTGTTTTTCTCAAATTATATTGTATCTGATGATGAATTAAATTTGAAACGCGTTATACATACATTTAAAATTCAAATAAATTTTAATGAAATGAAATTTAAAGTTACTGTCAAAATCATTATATATTCCTTGTAACAATTCTTTTATTTTATTTTAAAAGATTTTCGAAATGTGTGACATTCAATACAAGTAATCGTTTATTTTATATTGATTTCATAGATATCATTTATTTTTCTTCCCTATCGAACTGAAAAATATATCAAAAGTTGGAGAAATATATAAAATATGAATAGTATCAATCATTTTTTCTGAAAAGGACAGACTCAGCAACGCTTATAGGAAATCTTCTCCGTTTTTGTAGAAAGTGCATTTTAATGAAGTATATGATTTATAACTATATAGAATAATAGGGAAAATACGTCAGAAATAAATACCTCAGGGGCGTAAGTCAGGTGTCAGAGCAGGGGGGGGGTGCAAGGGGGTTGCAACCTTTTTTTTCTATTTTGGCGACCAAAAAAACGAAATTTTCAAAAGTAGGGGGGGCGCAAACCCCTTTTTTCCTATTAGTTTTCGAAAGCAGGGGGGTATTGCGCCCCCCCCTATTTATGCCACTGAAATACCTTTTAATGTGAGGATGAGGCCATAAGAGTATCATCATCAGTTGACATCTATAGTCTCACCCACACCCCCATGACTATTCATACATTTTATGTACTTTATTTGTTGTTAATGAAACATATTTTACAAGTCACAAAAAAAAAGAATTATTTACTAAAAGTCATTTTACCATCAAAACTTGTTTCAGTTACCATCAACTATAAATTGTTGTATTCGGTCGTTGTTTGTATCCACAACATAAAGATTATTCTGTTGATCAAATGATAAATCTTGAGAATACATGCCTGGTGTGGGTCCGCTCCCATATTGTTCACCAACAACAGTAATACCTTCTGTTGCATTTGGCGACCAACGCGTTATTCGATGACTTCCTTCATTCGTCACATATATATTACCCATATAATCAACAATCACACCTATAGGTTGAGACAATGAATTGGGATTTCCGCCAGAAACCTGTCCGGGAGCAACAAGAATGCCTTTACTGGCATTTTTCATCCATTTCATTACACGATTATTCCGATAATCTGCTACGTAAATTGAACTATATCCATCGACGAAGATATACCGAGGTTCATTAAATTGATTGAAATGATTTCCCGATTGATATTGACCTGCTATACCTGTACTCATTGTACCATATTTATCTCCTTCTTGCCAACGTATGATTTTATTCAATTGAAAGTCAGAAGTATAAATGTCTCCATTATTATCCGTTGCTAAGCCGTAGCAAAAGACAGGGCGCATTAATACTTGCGGAGCATGACTATTTTGACGAGACCATCGTATCACTCGCAGGTTACGATAGTCACAAATGATGATATATTTCTTCTCTTTATCAAGAATTACATCTATTGGTTCATTCAATTGATCTATTGATATTCCTTGTCCTTTTTCGCCTACCACAATTTCACCACTGCTCGCACCAAGTTCCCATCTAACAATACGATGGTTCCCGGTGTCAGCAATATAAATACTATGATCATCATCATCAACATAAATACCACGAGGCTGATCTAATTGATTTAATTCATTTCCCCGTCCGTTTCCTCCAGCAACAGTAGATGCATTCTGTTTCCATTTCATATTGTTATCACTGGTAGTAGAAGTAAGTAATTGTTCTATAAAACATTAAAATATATTTTAATTTCTTTTCTTTTCTTTTGATCTAAAAATTATTTCTTAAAAATAGGATATATTTTGCTTTGTTCAACAGAATGTTTTGATATCACTTTATACAAATTACGAGAATGTAGTTGGATGAGTTATGAATTCGATACTACATTCTCATTTATCCTTCAGTGAACTTTTTAATATTATTCTACAGAAGTATAATGTATGACTATCAGCTATTTTATGCCATTATTCGAATGAAATATTTAAGATTGAATAAGAAACTAGCTATTTTTAACAGAATCATACCGCTTGTGAATGTTGTTGTTGTTGTAGTCGTTATTGTTGTCGTGGTTGTTGTAGTAGTTGTAGTAGTCGTGGTCGTTGTAGTAGTAGTTATCGTCGTGGTTGTTGTTGTAGTAGTTGTAGTTGTAGTAGTAGTCGTGGTCGTTGTAGTAGTTGTTGTAGTAGTCGTTGTAGTAGCTGTAGTTGTCGTCGTCGTGGTTGTTGGTATTGTTGTTGTTTCTTTTATTTCTGCTGTTGTCGCTAGCGTTGTTATCTTTAAGGCTTTTCTCTCTCTCTTTGTTTTGTTCGCTGTAATAGTTATTGTTAGAATAGTTATAATTATAAGAATAAAAATAATGAAAAATACTATCCAAATAAATCTTCTTCTTCGAAAATGTTCATATCTAAAATAAGAAATTCTTTTCATAATCTATTTTAATTCATAATATATGCATACAATCTTTGTAATCGTGTTGTACTAGGGTTAACTACTGGGGACTAAAATATTCAAAAAACAAAATAAGATTATTTTCTTTTTATTTAATACATTACTTCATCAGGTCCAACTTTGTTATTGATATTCATGGTTGTTGTTGTATCCAACCTTCAATATTAATATAATTATAGAAAACATAAATAATCTCATTGAATATTTATTTTTATTTATGAGATTTGATATGTCTCATTAACAAATGGATTTAAACCAAAATAAAATAATGTTAAAATAAAGTTTTGATTTATTCTTATGTGGGATAATTAAAACTAATGTGAAAATGATTTAGTTTTTCCTACTTGTTATGAATTAAATAGAAATTATTTTTCATGTGTTAAATAAAAACAAGTTTTATCTTAAATAATCAGTTTAGCATGTTGTCAGATTTGCAACAAAAAAAAATCCTATATCAATATCAACATTAATCTTATTTCTTTTTTCACAGTCAGCTTCGCATAATGTATTGGCAGATGTGAGTTTCCTTTAATGTAAAAACTCTCTTGAATAAAATAATATTTATTATAATTATTTATAACAGCCAAAAGAAAAGAGAAAATCAGGGAATGACGTCAAATTCTGTGTAAGATATATTGAGAAGGATTAAAAAGAATACAATATTTGTTGTTTGAAAAATATTATCTTTAATGCATTCAACACGACTCATTTTTTTAGGAAAACGTTTCCAGATGTTCATTTTCATGAACACCTACCTTCTAAAAAAAAAGTAAATTTAATGGTTGCCTCAAAATCTAAATACAACGTTCGGCCATTGGATCACTTTATATAATGCTAAAATAAAAAAAAGTGTATTGTTTAACATTGTTAGGGTGTAGGTGTCGGTATGAGTTTCATATTGGTTTTTAATGATTTTTATTCTAGAGAATGCTATTTCTCACGAGTAGGTGTTGATATAAACAAGAAACCTCTCATTTATAAAAACAATGAATAAATATGTTTTAATTAATGATAATAATTATTAATCATAAGCTATTATTTTCTTGAAAACTTTGATAGAACGCCATGAATGTGTGTTTGGATCTCATATTCATCTCATCCGCACTCTGGATTTTTTCTTCTGAACTATTCAATACAACGCACACTTCGTGTTTATATATATTTTATTAGTTATTTATTAATATAAGAATCGAAAACAAATAGTAGTTAATAATGTAATTAGAAATACAGCCAACTATTTTCTTTGTCTTGCTCGATTGTAGAACTATTATGATCTGAGCATCGGAATACTAAAGACTGGTGAAGTTTAATGTAGCTTCTAAGCCTTCATGATCTGAAACCATTAGTATAGGATTGTTTTGATTCTTTTCATCGGCAGAAACTACAGTTGAACTAGTTGTAGAAAAATGTTGATTAGTTAGAATATAATCAAAACGAATTAATCTGGCAAAGGTCGCTGCAGCATTGGGAGTAGAGTCTATTAATCCATTAACTGATAGAGATACTAGCATATCATTGTATTCTTTGCTACCATATTGTATATTTAAATCTCCACATAATATAACCTTATGACCAGTATGATAGGTAGTGATATGATTATTAATTTGTTGAAGTTGTGTTGCACGAATTCCACGTAAAGGTTTTGCATCCAAATGAGTATTAATAACAATTAGATCTTCATTTGTTTTTGTAATTTTACAGCACATATAGCCTTTACTAGTTGCCAATTCAGCTAAACTGTAATTATTGAATGGCTCTTGATGGCAAGCTTCTATCTTGTGAGCAGATAAAATTAGACAACCACTATCTTGCACGCCAAACCATGGTGTATTAGCTGTATAGCTATATGGATACTTGGATTTAACTGTTTCTATTAAGTTGGTTCGCTGTTGAGAACCATAATTTAATAATAAATATGGATTACATACAAACACCTCCTGTAAACATATAATATCATAGAGCTGAGTAGAATCATCCAATAACCAAGTAGCAAATGTATTTAATCTTTGAGCTGAATATCGTCCACCCACTAATCTATGACACCATAAATTATATGTTAATACTCGACAACTATTCTTATTCATATTGTCAACAGAGACATTTACTACCGACTGGACTGAATTTGCAGCATACATGTCAGATCTAAAAGTTCAATTCAATTGTTAAAATATATACTTATAAGTTATCTTGAGGATGTGAATGAAATAGAATACCCACATCAATACGGTCAAATAAACTTAGTTCTAGAATAAATTTGAAGAGAAATTTAAATTTAAGGGCTACATATATTCGTTACACGCGTCCTACACTCACACGCAAAGATAGTGGCAATGATTACCTGTAGTCAAAGCATGTAAAGAGAAATAAAATGATTTGCTGTTTTTTCTTTTTTTTCACGTCTATATATCTTTTCCTTTCTCGTGTTTTATTTGACGCATAACAGAACTGACTAATATTTCAGATAAATACAAAAGCATATACTGGAGTGTGATAGAAAACCTTGCACAACTGGCAGAGAAGAAAAAAAGAAACGCTTGTCATGCTTTCTGTTGGTTTAAGACTTGCTCAACCTTCGAATGGCTTGTGTAACACTTAAAAATGAGTAACAGAGCCAGTTTGATTTCAGTCTTGTGATGGCCTTCAGCCGTGATACATCATTCTCTTTCATTTATTCTCTTGAGTCATATACATATGATCAAGCATTATTTCTGCTTGATATATATATGTGCTTTAATGTGTACAGAGATTCAGTTTTCTTGTTACTTTTCATTTGTTTCGCTTAAAATAGATAGATTATATCTTCCTTTATGAAGAGTGTAGGCGTGAATAAGACGTTCGTTTTTATTATACCTATATCTTCGGTTGATGATCAGTTTTCTATCAAACGTGTAAACATCGGATTCAGTTTGATTTCGAAGGTAAAAAAGTCAGAGCTGTACATATACATATATAGAATCCATTAGATCACTACTTATATTATTGAAGTATGAGACACAGTTCATCCGCTTATTTATATTGTATAAATTACATATCTGTTCTTTTAGATTGTTAATAGAAACAAAAGATATCATAAAGATAATAATATTTCTAATCATATATACACCACTTTTGAAAGAGATGAAATAACAGTCGATAATTCTCTGTAGAAGTTATCAAAACCCGGCATTTTCGATTATATATAGAGAAAAATAAACACTATTGTTATTACTTTTGTAGTATTTTTGATTAACTAACTCTATATATTTATTGTTTCTTTTTATCTAAACTATGAAAAAGTCCAGATAGTAACCATATTCGGTGTAGTTTTATCAATAAAAGACGAACTCGATGATATTGGAGTTGTACTCAATGACAAAATGCAATATGAAACTTCAATTTTCGGAAAACCAATAGAAGCCTTTGTACGAGAACCACAACCGGAGCTGCTTAATGATGATCACGGAGCAAGGTGGGAGTTCGGCTATCTTGTAGAGAATTTGTTTTAGGTATGAGGGTGTGGGTGTGACTGTGCTTGAGAGCAGGACCCGCACGAGCAGTGAGATGTAGGAGAGTGTACACCTCGCAATAACTGGAAGTTTTTGTTTTTGTTTCAGCGGCGAGAGCCTATCGGGAACAAATAGTGTGTTTTTTTGGCAAATTTTACTCTTAATACCCTTTGACATCTCAAGACTTTTTA